ATTGACTGGTTCCCAGACTTCATGAGTTCAAGCACCCTACAAGGCTGGCATCCCGCTCTCACTCTATCATTGTCGAAACTCCTAAATATAGCTGTCTCTTCTACTCCAATAGCTTCATGTCTTACACCTCTCGCCTGTGGAACTCCCTTCCCTATTCCAGTTTCCCTGAGAGCTATAATCTCCAACTATTCTAATGTAATGTCAATCGACATCTGCAGTTGCTTTGATCTATCCACTATCCTTCTCCTCATCCTTTCCTCTATCACTCCTATCTGATCTTGCTCCAAAACTTCTGTAACCCCTTGCGTCCTAGTGGTTTCCGGCCTTGCTTGGGGTGAAACGCTTAAAAAAAAAAAAATTATGTTCTTTTATTGCCCTTTCTCCTCCATAAAGTTTTCTCTTTCACTCTCAGTAACCCCTTGTGTCAGTGGCATTGCTACCTTGATTGTGGTGAAATGATTGAAAAAAAAAACCAATAATAGTAATAGAATAATAGTAATAATGGTAATATATAAGTTGTTTACTTATATGGAAACATTTGGAATTCATTGACTATGCTACTTTTGGTTGAAATTCATAAAATCTTTCTCTTTAAAAAAACAATTTTTCAGGGAAATAGTATACTCAAGTAAATTTTATGGGTTTTTCCAGTATTGATGGGGGTTTCCTTCCTAAACTTTTGTTAGAAGTCATGTAGAAAATCGACATCTTAATGTTCTTATTATTTTCTCTTCAAGTAACATTTGATATACATTTTAGTTGTTGCTGCTGTTGAAAGTCCTCAAGTGATGTGATTTCTGTTATTTGGTACAGTTCTTTGCTTGTGATTCTGTAGTGCCAGTACGCACAGGTTTCATTCACTCAAGGCCGTTTTTAACCATTGATATGAGAAAGCAGTTGAAAGTTGGGGATGGAATCCACTCTTGGTTTTGCTGCAAACTTTTCAGCACACACTCATATTAGTTTTTTTATTAAAAATACTCCTTTTCTGTTCTATATATTATAGGGCTGTTGGAGTTGGAGATTGTCATAACAGTTAACAATATTGAAAATGAAGTTACTGAACAGAGTTCAAGTTCTAGTTGTGGTATGCTCTTTAGGAAGCCATGAATCTGTCTCTCCTTAGAGGTCACGCGAGAGATTATACACTGCTATTGGTATGGGGTAATCTAACACAACCAGTTTGTGACTTGAAGAGAAGATTGGCACTGTGAAGTTGTTGCTGATGAAAATCCTCAAGGGATGTCATGCCTGTTATTTGGTACAATTCTTTGTTTGTGATCTTGTTCACAAGGTCCAAAGAAGGATGGTGCTCTTTAAAACCTACAGGGTTCATTGGCTCAAAGCCATTTTTAATAGCGTTGAGAAAGCAGAACTCAGAGTATTGTGATAAAAAGGAACAATAATACAATAGATTAAACAACTAGCATGAGGAGGAACTGAAAAGTGACTGGTACAACCTACTACCTAAAATTTAGCCAAATGACTAAAAACCAAATTATTTTTTTTTTGGTGGGAGGAAGACATCTTTGTCAGCCTGAGAACTTTTCAGCACCTCTTGTATATAAATACTATTACAGGACTATAAGAATTAAATGGCTTTTTGCTTTTGGTCTAACTTTGCTATTCTCTGAGTGTCTTTAATGTTTCAGGTTGAATAGTTTATTGTTGTCATCCATTTGGAGTTTCACTGAAACAGAACTAAAAAAAAATCGCTATATTTTATTCTTTTTTTACAGTTGCAATTGGGGGTGGGGATGGTGAACTGACTCCTTTTAGTGCTTTTAGAAAAAAAATCTTCTGGCTGCTCCCCAAAAAGAACCTACAAAAAGTTCTTTTGCTGAAAAAAAATAATTCCAAAGAGAATTCATTTTTTTCCATACGCATTTCTTCTGAAGAGAATAGCATATATAAGATGGGGTGATGAAAAGTTAATTGCCAAACCCACTTCCTAAAATTGACTAAACATCAGAGTTTTTTTTTAAAATCCCTTCTTAGTTGAGCCAAGAACTTTTCAGCACTTCCTTGTACTTATATATGGGGGAAATATTTATCACAAAGTAGAGAAATGTTTTCGTGTGGTGTGTTCCATTCTTTAAGACTTTATCAGATTAAATTTGTTATGTTGTGGTGACTACACATGCACACAAATAAGGGATTCTGGGAACTTAGATTTTTTTTTTTTCAGTATCTGTCTATATTTCTGAGATGAGGTATTATGTACATTATTTACATTATTCGGACTATTGTCCTCATCTTTGTTGCCATATTTATTACGTTTTGGCTGTTGTATGCTCCGGCCTTCTTCAGGTGGTTGGAATGTCAAACTGAACCCTTTATTTCGCTCACTGGGGTAGACTGTTCTAGTTCCACGTGCCATGTTTAATGGATGTCAGTTATCAGTTATCTCCTGCTAATTTCACTCTGAAAGTTCTCCACTGCCTTAACCAGGTATTGAACTCACACTCTTTGGGTCCTGTCACTGGATCTAACTAGTTTTCTTGGATCTGTTTTTTTTTCATATTTAATCTGATTTCATTTAGATTTTTTTCTTTCCATCACTTTTGTTATTACATAAGCCACACTGTGATAATAGAAGATCTGCCAGGGATGGTTAAATGTTGTAATGTTTTCTCATATACATACAGGGTGCAATGGGTAAATTGTCTCCTTTTATTATTTTTAATTTCACACACATGCATTGTTTCTTTTTGATTTTGTCAACTGCACAGTATAGTAGGGTCAGTTGGGCACCATCTACGAGAAAAAGAGGACCATGATGCAATTCAATTCCCCCAGAAATTTGGAAATGGCATGCTGTACTGCTTGGCATTCACACCAGAAGCTCCAATATGTACATTTCAGAGTATTTAGGTGTCAATCTGAGGACAGGGCAGGGGTTGGATCAATCTAATGGTGATTACAAAGGTACAGCAGCTTGGTAAACTCATTCTGATAAGAAAAGAACTTTTGAATTTGTTGGTTAGGGCCACAGATTCAACATGGAGGCCCACATCAAGTGCTTTGAGGTGGTGCCCTGGATCAAGAGTGTGACTGCTGTAAGATCCTATGACTGGCAACAGGACTGTGCACTGTGCCACACAAGCAGGAGAACCCAGTCATGGCTGTCAGACAATTTCTGCGTTGTCATCACCCCTTACATTTGACCACCTAACTCTCCAGACTGCAACCGCCTTGATTATTATGTGTGGGGGGTGAAGTTGAGCGAGAGACCAAAAATGAAACTGAAGGCAAGGATTATGGCAGCATTCACCAACTTAAACAAGGAGACCGTCAAGAAAAGTTGCAGGAGATTCCGAAGTCATGGTTGAATCCATTAGTGATTTTATTGAATAAATTTACTCTTTAGTATTTTAATATATTTTTGTGTAATTTTGGTAAACATATTTGTTAAAATGAGATGTATCTATTGCACCTCATATATATATAAATAAATTTGATTGACAAAGTGGAAAATTTCTGTGTAATGTGTTTTGTCTTTGACATTGGACTAAAGTAATGTTTTTATTGACGGAATTATATATGTGTAAAGAGGTGCCTGGAGAAATGTAGACACCAGCATTGGTTATAATTTAAGCTCCTTCAATAACCTAATTATTTCATATTCAATGTGAAACGGAAAAGCTCATCAAATTTTAAAAAGATAAAAGAATGAATAATACAAAAACCCCTAATAAAACAAGATAAATTACTACCTACCAACTCCATCACAGCTACAATGGAAAAGAATTTATCTAAGGTTCACATAAAATTTGTTACAACTACTTCTGAAACAATACAAGACATAAATAATAAAAACAAAATGATAACAACCTGAAACCGGAGTTTATTCAATAACCTGTAATAACTGCTACAAGGAGTACATAGGAGAGACCTTGAGGAACACAAGAGAGATCTTTCAGAAAACAAGACATTCAATGCATTAGTCAATTACTGTGATTAATCTGACCATAATTTCAATTTAAAAAATTGTAATTTAATTAAAAGAGAAAGCAGTTTACTAAGGTAAAAATGTATAGAAAGTGCACTGATTGCTGAATCATCTACAGTAAACTTGTGTTCAGGTTCTTACAGCAATTCAGCTTTCTTGTCAGATCTTCTGTTATACAATTGTTGTATCACTGCAATTACCAGTTTACTAAGTTAAAAATGTATAGAAAGTGTACTAATTTCTAAACCATTTATTGTAAATTAGCAGTAAAACCATACTACTAGTGTAACTGTGTTTCTCAAGTCAAATAAAATTTGTAAAAGACTTGTAATTTTTATATTGTTATACTTGTATGCATATTTTAAACACATACTGGCATATTATCAAAATATTGTTAAACATTGTTAAATGTGGTTTTTCTTTTTCTTTTCTTAAATAGCATTCCTCTTTGTTTCAGAATGCTGGAAGAGTTATGTCAATCAGTTTATTAATAATAATAATAATAATAATAATAATAATAATGTGTTCATATCTCAGTTATACTGTACAGTTTGGTATCAAATGCAGTTGTCAGCTCATTACAAAACTCACAATTTTAATATTTATTACCTATAAGTAAAAAAACACAAAGTTGGCCATAACCGGTAGGCAGTGATTAAGTGAAGACTACTCTTGCATTGGCTCTGTTAGTCTTAAATTACTTCTTATATTAAATATGCTGACATTATTTGCACCAAAACAAAGGTGTAATCATTCATATTAACCATACACTATAATACTGCAGTTGCTTCTGGAATCGCTAAGATGATCTACCAAATATATATATAACATATGTCATACTCTGTAAACAAATGAAAAATAAAATTAGAGGGAATTAAATGTAGAACAAAGTTTCGAATTTTGAGAATGCTACCTTAATTAAGAGAGAAAGATGTTTACTAAGACAAAAATATATTGAAAGTGGACTCGTTTCCTTAATTTATTTTTGTATTGTTCATTCTTTTAATTTTAAAAATTTGATGAACTTTCTGTTTCACATTGAGGGTTTATGGTCACATTACATTTAAAACACCAGTTCATGTACGACCACTGAAGTTAAGCAATGTCGAGCTTGGTCAGTACTTAGATTGATGACCACTTGTTAATAGCAGGTGCTGTAAGCTTGGATGTGCAGGTGATGTAATGGATAATTACTCAGGATTTTTAATTGGAGAGCTAAGTTCCAATTCTACTTAAGTCCATTATATTCACTTATGTACAAATATCCTTGAGAAAGGTATGAATCCACCACTTCTCCCTCAGGATGAGTTAATTAGTAAGACTTGTATCACTAAAACCATTATCTTAAAAAAAAATTGCAGACAACCTAGAGATTTAGATTTCTGCATCAAATAACCTATAGAGGTTGGTATGATGCTAAACTAAAACAACCAACCAAGTGGTTTGCATTGAATATAAAATAATTAATGAGTATTAGTGGAGCTTAAATTATAATTATAACTGATGCTGGTATTTATATTTCCTACTAAATGTATATAACTCCTTCATTAAAAACATTACTTTAATCCAATGAAATCTTTAGAGCCTTTAATATTGACACAGCTACATCAAGTTATATACAGAAAGAATCTTATGAAGGTTGTGTGTATTGCATTGGTTATTTAATATATTTGGTGTTTTCTATGATTTTATATCCAGAATATTTTATTTTATATTCAGTATTTTGCATGATTTTTTTTCAGTTCAGATGTGGCTAAAATTGAACTGAAGAAAATCATATAGAATAATATTTTTTTAATGGAAGAGGGCTTCAAAGACTTGGAGTGTTTTGTTACAATGAACATCATAAAAGATATGGGCAATCAATAAATATCCTTGAAAAGCATATGGATGACCAATTGAAGTCAGTGACTCAATTATGTACAATGTTGACATTTACAACTGACCAAAAGAAATATGTGTGTATGAACTAAAGTTCAAAAGTTTGAAGCCACCCCCAGAATTAGCATGAGATGAACTTGACAGAAGAGTGAGTGAAAAGAAAAATGAAAAAGAGCTCTTAGAATCATTGAAAAAAAAAATGGAATCAATTATCAAACTTATACACTGAGACGCTTTTGCATCAAATGCCAAAAATTTATGCTGCAGTAATCAAGGCCAAAGAAGGATATTTTGCTGAGAGTAAAATTTAATCATAAAATGCTTTTTTTCTTTTAGTCATAATAACATTTCTAATAAAAATTATGTCTCACTTTTTCTGATCATGTATAATAATTTTCTCTTATTTAAAGTACAAAACAACTACATATTAGGCCAATTTTAAAAAAATACAAGGGGTTGTCACAAAATTTTGAACTGTAGTAAAACAATATTTATTATGAGTAACATAACAATTCAACAATAACATTTTTAAATGAGTATTGTTATTGACACACATTTTTATTACCTGAAAATAAAATGAAATTTTTTTTAAAAAAGTAAACAAAACAGCAATTTTTAGTAAGAAATAACTCACCAACAAAATCGCCTGATAATTATGCACCAAGACAATCTAGAAGATAACAATATATAAATTTTTGTATGTCAAGAAAAATATTGGAAAAAAATGTTTGACAAATTCAAAAAGTTTTGGTGTGAGGCATTTTGCATATTAGAACTTCCTTAGACCAAATTTTTTTATGTTGGTGTAACTACACATGTGAATGGATGAGAGATGTTGGCAATTTTAAATTCAATTTTTTTTTCTATAATCTACCTAATTTTATTTAGATCCTTTTTCTTTTTGTTTCCATCACTTTTGTTATTAGGTATCCTATATTGAAAACAGAAGATCTGTCATGAATGAGGAAATCTTGTAAAAGCCATTTTCCACTTTGTCATACATTTTTCCTATATATATATATATATATATATATATATAAATATATGCATGTATGTATGTATGTATATATATATATATATATATATATATGTATATAAATATAAAAGTGAACATTGAAGTTAACACTTAGAAGCGACAGACCTGACGACTGCATCTAGCATGAAACAGCCTATCACCTCGAAGTGTTGACTTCAAAGTTTACTTTTATATTTATACACACTCTAATATTGAGCACATTATCTCATAAATATAGTACACCTTCAGAGTATATTTCTTCAATTATATGTAAATATATATATATATATAAATTCATGAATCATTCATACAAAAAACAAATATAGAGGTTAATGATTTAAATGGCGAGAATACATCATCGCAAACAATATAAATAAGATACACCAACCCCGAACCTGTAGATGAACGATATGATCCCTGTTTACAAATTCCAGTTGCATAAGGTCTTTTTAATTTTTTAAAAGCTTTCATCTGTTCTTACAGAGATCCTCAGGTATGGAAATAGATTTTGTTCTTGTTTTTACTTCTCGGTAATAAGAGGACAATGAAAATAGAGATGTAATCCGAAAAAATGCTATGAGAAATGTGTTATTGTTTTGGAATGTGCAGTTGCACTGCTGAGTTCAGGTTTGGTGTATCTTATTTATATTGTTTGCGATGATGTATTCTCGCCATTTAAATCATTAACCTCTATATTTGTTTTTTGTATGAATGATTCATGAATTTATAAATTATAATTGCACCTCTTAATTGAAATATATATATATATATATATATATACATATACATATATATATATGTATATATATAGATGTATATATATATATATATATATGATGAAAATATAGTTTTAAGGTATTTTGCTATATTTATGAGTTAAAGTGCTCAATATCAGGTATAGGGCATATGTAATATATATATATATACACACATGGTGCAGCAGAAATACTTCCCACATATATGTCCCAGAAATGCCTCCTACAGGATGGTAGCACATTAGTTAGATGATGAAACCATTGCCACTAATGTGTTACCATTATGTGGGAGGTATTTATGCCACACTCTCTGCCCCTCCACTCTCTCTCTCTCTCTGTCTCTGTCTCTGTCTCTCTCTCTCTATCTATATATATATATATATATATTCACACATTTTAAAAAAAATTTTCTCCTATGGCGAAAGATACCTTATTTAATTTTGGCTGCTTCTCTTTTATATATATTTGGGTAGTACTCCCTGTTTTATACAGGTTTCATTGAACATGGCTAACATGTTTTTTATTATATCTTACTTGTGTGTGTTCAGAAATTTCTTTTTTGAACATAGAATTTGTAAGAACAGTTCAAATAATGTTGGGATCTGAGTGCTTTTGACTAATTTGTTTTTCATTATCAACAATATTTTTGTTTGTTATAATGTGTGGATTGTGATGGTAAATTTTTTTAGCAATATAAATGTTTTAATTTCTTAACACATCAGTACATTGTGACAATGTTTAGAATTAATATTATTAAGAGTTGCTTTCTTGTTTTTTATTGATAAGAGCAAGAAACTAACTCTGCAGACTGATGATGTAAAACCACTTACTTTTTCATAAATATTTATTTTTTAACATAATCTCTTTCCTTGTCAATGCACTTAATTCAGTAGAAAATATTAGCTATATACATTGAATATTATACAGTGAAAATTTCAGATTATTTCAAATATATTTATTGATCCACCCTGATTATGTGTGACCTATGGTAGCCATGTATAGTTGGTGAGTAGAATCTTCATTTCTTTTTCTTCTTCTATGATCTGAAAGCTCTGGTGAAAGATCTGCAGAAAAGGATGTCAGAGGTCATAGTCAATGCCTTGCCTAATTGGTCTAGTCTGATCAGATAATCATTGCCAGAAGTGTTGGCAACTTTTAAAATAATGAAACTAGAGAGGATTGATTGATTTGTTTGTTTAACGGCATATCAACACCTTTATGGGTCATTTAATGCTGAAATTTAATTTTCTTGGGTGCTTTGAAGTAATAAAAATATGATAAATGTTATTCTGCTTTCACAATTGAATACATGGTAGATGATACTCAGCCTTTGTGCATACACATGTTTGTGCTGGCATAATTGCTAGAGGCAGTGATATGTGTGTTTCATAGTGTAGTTTTGCTGAAGTTATACTTTGGAATAAAGTTTTATTTCTTTAAGAAATTGTAGGATATTATATGGATTAATGTCATGAAAATGTTGGTTGTTTGGTTGATTGATTTTGTTTAGCAACATATCTCTATTTTCCCCGAAGCCCTTGCAACATGAATTTAATCATGATACTAGATTGTCATCTATGTCCAACTATTTTACTGTTGAAATAGTTAAATGCAACCACCACTTTTACTCCAGCAGTTTCTTTTCTCGCCCTTCCCAACAGTGGAACTCCCTTCCTCTTACTTGCTTCCCTGATAACTACAATCTTCAAAAATTTAAATGCAATGTCAATTATTATCTTCTGATGCCTTGATCCCTGTTCTTCTTTTATCCTTTCCTCAATCCCCTCCATAAACAGTCTTTACCCTCACTTTTACACTCTGTAACCTCCTGTGTGCTAGTGGCTCTCCCATCTTGCTTGGGGTGAAATGTTTTTTAAAAAAAAAGCAAGAAATGTAAACCTTTAAATCTAAATATTTTGAATGCAATTGTATACCTTCAACTACAGATAAAATGTATTATCATTTTTCTATATTTATAATTTTACTATAAATATATATTTTTATACTTTTATAGTGTTGTTTTTGTTAGGGGATTCACTATTTGCCCATAGCTGGTATCCTAAGAAGTGCTACCACCCCGAATCATGTTCGAACTGGGAATAATAGCAATTAAGACGTTGTTCCACGCTCCTCAAAACCTACAATCTCCTGATCAGTAAACAAGATTTATTGCAATATGATTACAAATCATATATGCAACATAATAGAGAATTAAAGCATATCTGAACTGGAAATGAGCATTTGCGGGGATAAGAATGAGAGAGATATGTATGTAGAGCTAATCAGTCCAAGGCCACTGGGTAAGTGCAGCAATTTCATGAAATAAAATTAATAGCTGATCTCAAAAATGATGGTTTCTTAATTCTAACACCTCCAAAACTAAACTGCTCTTTAATCATCTTAGAGAACCTTTTTTCAACTTCCAGCAGTATAGTTGATTGTTCTGCTTCCCAAATATACATCTGTCTTGTATGCGTGTGTATCTCAAAACAGCCAGATAAATGCCTTGT